AAGTTGTTCAAGATGACGATGAACAATTGTATGGTTTGAACTGAGAACCACTACCAATTCCTCAACTGATAAAGCAAGATTTTCTTCAAGGCCTGCTTCAAGAAGCTTTTCATCAAACTCAACTGGACATCCGGTTCGATCTTCATCTTCAAGGGTGAAATCTCCACCTCTGAATTTTGCAAACCATCTTCTGCAAGTTCTTTCATTCACACATTCCTCTCCATAAACTGAGTGAATGTTTCTAGCCGCTTCGTCTGCTGAGTTTCCTTTCTTGAACTCATAAAGCATTATATGCCTCAAATGATTCTTGGGTACTTCCATGTTAGCAGGGTTTTAATCAAACAAAATTTAATTTTATTGTTCTCTGAAATAAAATTTGATCAGTTGAAATGCATCTAAATATAAAAATAATGTTCAGCTCCATAAGACATTATAAAATACTCTTTACATTTTGTTCATTTTAACAAAAAGTTAAAATTCGGACAGAACTTATGGGATGACCTGATAGTTTCATCAACCTGCAATTGGCCAAGAATGGTGAGCACAGCTACACTTCTGAAGCCATGGTCAATATTTGGGGCTAATCTAATGGGGCTTTGTGAAAAGAATTTGGATTTTAGAAACTTACCTGCATGTAACAAAATGTCTGCTTTTTTTTGGGGGGGGGAATATGATCTTAAATTGCTTTGTTGTACATTGAATACATTGAGTACTTTTTATCTTTATAATCTCTGATTATCCAAGTGTAAGGTGCAAGTGTCTTTTTCTTCCCCACACACTGCTACATCTCAATTTTCATAAGGTAGTTTCATATAAAATACAAATTTTATTTTAATCTAATTATTCACAATAATGGATCATATACAATATAGGTGAACAATTCAACTAAAAAAATTGAAAATAAATAAAATGTATCTAAATACAAATTAGAGACATGTCATAATAAATCATTCCATTTTAAATAAATCAACAATGTCTTGCAGCAATTTTTAACATCAACAATTTGAATAATTTTAATACAATCAACATTATGTATAAAAATAGTGAATTTTATATTGTGTTTTCTCAAGGCTTAGCATAAACAACAAATTCATGAACTTGGAATAAAATAATGCAACTCCAATGCCTTAACCAGGTATTGAACTGACAAATCTTTGGGTCCTATCACTGGATCTAACGCCTTTATCCACTGTGCCATGTGTCCTCAGCAAAAGAGCCCAGTCTCTTCTGCTATTAAACCCATAACAAGGAAAGATGGATTAATGCCCTTTCAAAGGGAATTGACACAAAGAAAATGATACAGAATTGACTGAAATTTGAACTTGGCTTGACAATTCGACTTTCCATGATGATAACCATTATACTACCAACACATCTCTGTCTGTCTCTCTCACTATATATATATATATATATATATATATATATATATATATATATCAAACATGATTTTTTGTGGATACTGTATTTGAGTAGACACTCCATTTTATGTTAAATGGTATTTAGTTCATCTACCAGACTGCACACTCAAGAAAACTTATTATATAAAATGCAGGATTTGAACCTGTATCCCCCCCACACAGGAGAAACCACCATCTGTTCTGGTGTGCTTTAACCCCACAGCTATGAAATACTTGAAAATCAAGCAAGGTTCTATTTGCCTTTTAAAGCAGACTGCTTCTGAATCCTCCAAGAGGGCACATTTTTTTAATAAGTTTTCTCAAGTGTACAGGCTAGTAGATGAAATAAATACCATTTAAAATAAAACAGAACATCTGCTCAAATACAGGTATCCACTAAAAATAACATTTGAAATAATAAAAATGTCAAATTAAAAAGTAAAATCCATGAATTTGTTATATATATATATATATATATATATATATATATATATATGTATGTGTGTGTGTGTATTTTAGAATATGTTCTCATTAAAGAAGGTGGTACCAACATGTCTTATCCTTCACCAATAGTACTTATAAAAATAGTACATCTCTTTCTAAACATTTTTGGGAATTTAAAAGAAGCTAATAAAACTCCTAAGTTAAAATGGAAACTTTAAAAAAACAAAAGCTAGAACATGTAGATTTTTAAATGAACCCTGAATTATCAGATTTTTTTGATAAAATCCCTTATTAAACCAAAGAAGTGAATTTATTGTAAATTGTAGGCATAGCCTGCCTTTTACAATATGTTTAAATTTTGAATTTGATAATACTTTTTCTTATAGTATTAATCAGTAGATGAACTGCTGTTCACCTTATATGGCATACTACTCTATTTGTAAGATTCACTTTGATTTATTATTGCTTTGTATTGATGTTTGGTTAGTATTATTAACATCTTATATGGATGTACAGGTGCTTGGTTGGTATTATTAACATCTTACATTGATTAGTTGGCATTATTAACATCTTTTATTTAACGATTACATATTGATTTGCCAAAGTAGTTCCATATTGTTGATTTTTTTTTTTTTTTCAACAGTTAAGTTGTTGATGAG